CAGATTACTAAAAGCACCTCAACAACTATTTGTCCCTCTTTACCTAAATAATCAATTCAATTTATTGTCGTTAACGTCGAATCTTCTTAAATATATTTGTATCTATTCCATCCTCATCCAAATAACCAATTAAATGTAGGAGTCATTTGATGTCGTCTTATTTAAAGCAATTGAGCATGTAGTTGATTATATATGTGTAAGTCCCTCTTTCATCCAACATAATCCACTTAGTGTACGTTCATTCTAATATCGTCCTCTTAAAAGCACCGCTAGGATCCGCTGATTTAGGCTTAGTTGCAATGTCTATAAATCCACTTCCCTTTTGAGCAAGCTCAAGAGTTAGACTCGCTCCACACTTGGTTGCCTAACAACGTTCTGATTAAGTAGCACAGTCTACCAAGTTGTGTTATATAGGTTGACTAAGTAGCACAATCTACCAAGTTGTGTTATATAGGTTGAAGAGCAAAAGTCCACCAGGAGCTAGATTGTATTAGAACATTTGGCCTTTTTTTTAACCACTGTACAAGTTCAGAATTGAACTTGCCAAGCTATTGGTTCAAACATACGCTAATCAAACTAGTAGTTTATATGATATTAAATTTATGAATATTTTTAAAATATAAAGTACTTTAAGAATAATTTTCATACCTAAAACACAATTCAAAACATTCAAATGCATAAACTAACTTATATAACAATTTATACATGTTTGTTATATTTAAATATCTACTTTTATTTATAATAGAGGTACTTCAAAATATATTGTATCTTACTTAACAAAAATAGATTGGCCCAACTAACCAAATTTTGGTCAATTCTGGTCGATTTTGGCCAGTTCAAGTATTGTTGACCTATTTGCTGACAACCGATTCATACAGATCTTCAATTCAATGGGTCGGAGTGGCCGATACAATCCCATTTTGAGAACCGTGAGTCCGTGACCATTGCAGTATTCTAAAACACAATCATTAATTTTTTTTTTTTAAAATAATAATCCTAATGAATCTCATATATTTGAATATAAAATATAGAAAAGTGTAGCATTATTTCCAACTATTATATTCTTAATAGATTGTGATGTATAGAAATTGAATCATGTATCAACTAATACAACACTTCTATAAAAAGTGAAAATGTAATTGATGAGCTGCAAGCTCATTGTCGTTGACGTCCAATGATATTTGGATTGCTCTATTTTTTTGTCACATGGCACAAAAAAATTTATGTGGCATAAGAAAAACCTGAAAGTCTTTCTAGATGTACAAGTACTTCTAAACTTCTATTATATAATATATTATTTATTAAATGTCTCTTTCTTCTCTAACCAATTATAATTTTACACATGTCAAACTAAATCATCTTTAACATTAACCATTGGAGACACAATTTAATAATGTCCTTCCTACATGCCGTGCAATATAAATGTCAATATGCCATTGGAGATGCTCTTAAAGGTACCCCAATAGCTATTCTTTCATCCACACTAACATTATCAATTCATTATGCACACAAGCAACTAGAAATCACACATATATCTATTTTATTCATATTATATGAAATAACAATCAAGTAGATGTTGTTATTAATTACAAAGTTATAGATAGAATCATGCATCGACTAATGTAATACTACTTTTAAAAAGGTAAAATGTACTATTCGTTCTAAAAGTTCGTTGTCGTTCACATAACAAATTCATAAAAGCATGCCCACCACTGTTCGTCCCTCTTCACCTAAATAATCAATTCAATTTATTGTCATCGAGGTGTATCTTCTTAAAAGTGTTTGTATTCGTTTCGTCGGCATCCTGATAATCAATTAAATGTAGGAATCATCTGACGTCGTCTTCTTAAAAACAATCCAGCATGTAGCGATCTCTCCCTCATCCAACATAATCGACTTAAATGTATGTGCCTTCTAATTTCATTCTAAGGATCCTTTAATTTAGGCTTAGTTGTGATGTCTTTAAATCCACCTCTCTCTTGAGCAACCTTAAAGAGCTAGACTTGCCTCACCCTTGATCGACTAACTCCAACTCTTGACTAAGTATCACAATCCCCTAAGTTGTATTATTTAGGTCTACTAGTATTCGATCTTGTGCTTTTGCATAGATGTAAATAAAATATATAAGTTATTTGTATGCATATATCATTAAACATATAAGTTAGATAATGATATTATATTTTAAACAAAGAATATTATAAATTATATTTATGCATATAAAATTAAAATTATAAGTTAGATAGTGTATTATGTTTTAAAATTTGATCATTGTTTAAAATAAATATTACATAACGATTTGATTGCATATGAATCACTATATTGATTACACAAAATATGATAAATAATACAATTTTTGTAATTTTGAGGGATCATGACCAATTAAGTAGCTAAAAAAAATTAAATTTATTATAACAATTGCTTATGCGATTTTAAGAAATTTTACTATGACATCAAAAGAAACTAATTATTTAAAAAACACTCGCTTAATCGGATAAAAAAAATACAATATTTATTTTTAGAATAAATAACTTGAACAAAATGTTTTTACAATATAATTTTTTATGTTTAAGCAACTTTCATGTATTTTTTAGAAGAGTTGGCAGCTGGAGTCCTGGATCATTAAAGCAGCCTGCAGAGACTGGAATGACTTCAAGGACAGGAAAATGGTTTGAAGATTTGTAGCAGAAAGAAAGAGTCTAGGTGCCATGTAGGTATTTGTAATGAGCAAATTTTTTTAAAAAAAAATAACCGAATCATTTTTTGAAAAGTTAGGTGCCACGTAAGTATAATGTATGAGGTAAAATTTATGAGATTTTATTTAATGGATTGCTAGCAATTATAGATATACAGAGATTGTAGCACAATACATATTTCTATTGTATTCTTAAATGAGATATCAATTAATTCTACGTTGTTATTAATTACGAAGTATATAAGTCAAATCATGCATCGACTAATCCAATACGACCTTAAAAGAGTAAAATATATCATTTGTTCTAAAAGTTCGTTGTCGTTAGTGTAACAGATTCATAAAAGCACCCCCAACAACTATTCGTCACTCTTCACCTAAATAATCAATTAAATTAACGTCATTGACATTGCATCTTCTTAAAAGTGTTTGTATTCCTTTCATCCGCATCCAAATAACCAATTAAATGTAGGAATCATCTGACGTCAGCTTCTTAAAAGCAATCGAGCATGTAGCGAATTGTATATGTATCTGTCTCTCCCTTATTCAACATAATCTACTTAAATGTATGTGTCTTATAATGTCATCCTCTTAAAAGCACCCACAAGATCGTTTAATTTAGGTTTAGTTGTAATGTCCTTAAATCCACCTCCCTCTTGAGCAAGCTTAAGAGTTAAACTCGCCTCACCCTTATTTGACTAATACCACTCTGACTAAGTAGCAAAATCCATCAAGTTGTGTTATTTAGGTTCAAGGACAGAAGCCCAATAGGGGAAACCATTTAAAATTGATTTTTTTTAAAGACCGGAAAGTTCAGAATTGAGCAAGTCAAGCTATTGGTTCAATAATTTCCTAATCGAACTAGTAATTTAATCAGTTGCATTGACATTAAATTTGTGAATATTTTTAAACGTATAGTAGTTTAAGAAATATATCTATACCTGAAACACTAATCATTAAATATTTAGGTAATTAAACATTCAAATGAAATGCCTAACTAACTTATACAACCAATTATACATATTTTTATATTGAAATATGTACTTTTATTTATATTAAAAATATTTTAAAATATATTAAAAGCTATTTCAAAAAACTAGATGGAATCCACCTTACCAAATTTCGGCCAATTCTAAATGATTTTGGCTAGTTCAACTATAGTTGACCGATTTGCATGCAATTGGTTCACTTCAGTGAAGCAAACCGGTTTCTAATCCAAGTCGAATTGGCCGATTCAATCCAATTTTGAAAACAATTACCATTGCACTATTCTATAACACAATCATTGTTTTTTTTTTAAAATAATAATCATAATGAATCTCATATGTTTGAATATAAATATGGAAAAAGGTAGCACTATTCATCACTTTGTTTAATTTGCGACACTATATATAACGGTCAAACCCATTTTTTAGGCTTCTAAAATAAAAATAGGAAAAATTTTACTTAGTTGTGACCATGTTCGATTGTTTTCATACAACACATCTATCTCGTTTAGGAAATTCAATGCAAAAGATTATATTTTGACATGACATGGATGGTATGAAATAAAAATTGCATTACATCATAGAAATTGTGATCTTGAATTATAGTTTAATCAGCATAGTTTCAACGTGTAGTTCACCAATTCTCAACCAATGTAGAGTTGAAATTAAAGTAAAAATTATTTAAGACCATCATATTATTTCGATAAAAAAAGTATATACTTATAATGTAAATGTTATTATTTAGTTTATCTAATATTTTATACTATAAAATTTCAATTTAAAAGTATATACATGTATGTAAAAATTGTTGTCTAACTACTGCATTATCGTCCAATATTTATTAAGAAAATAGGTAGTAGTATTTACCTCATGTCAATTATTATTTATATATATTATAATAAAAAGCATCACTAATAAGTAATACTAAGTTTTAAAAATATTATAAATAATAGATTTCCAAATCATGACGAGTAGGAAACAACAAAAAATGGATTTTTGTAGGAATTTTCATTTCATTTTCTTTTCTCATTGTTTTATTATATTTTTCTCGGGTACCTTTTGGCTCAAATATTTTAATAATTCCATAACTAAAATCCTTTTTTTTTTTGTTTTATAAAAGCCAAAACGAAAAACAGACATGCTCTGCAAATTCTGCTTTGTATTGTGTTTTTGCCTATTCTCTCTCGCCATATCTCCTTTTTCTTCTCCCTTTCCTTTTATCAATTGATTGCCCTTTGACCCTATATCCATTTTTCAAGCTCAAGAACCCTTTTTTATTCCGAACCCTCCTATAATTCGAAATTAGAAAGCGAGAGAGAGAGAGAGAGAGAGAGAGAGAGAGAGAGTGATTATTGATTGGGTTATGTGAAACAAAGATTGTACGAAAAATGGCGTGTGTAGATTTTCACGGCGATAATGGTATTAATTTGATGGAGGAGCCGAGTATCGAGACGGATAAATTGAGCTACGAGATTTTCTCCATACTCGAGAGCAAATTCCTTTTTGGGTACGACGATCGGAAGCTCTGGGTCCCGCTGCAGGCGAAGGACGGCCTCGTTTCCGCCGCCGCCGCCGACGGCGGCGGCGGTCCCCAGGCGGCGAAGAACCAGAGGGGGAAAATCTGCGTCCTAAGCGTGGACGGCGGCGGGATGCGGAACGTCGTCTCGGGCAAGGCGCTGTCGTACCTGGAGGCGGCCCTGCAGAGGAAATCGGGGAACCCGGAGGCGCGTGTCGCCGACTACTTCGACGTCGCCGCCGGGAGCGGCGTCGGTGGCATCTTCACGGCGATGCTCTTCGCCGCGGACGGCGGGGGGCGCCCGATCTTCCGCGCCGACGACACGTGGAAGTTCCTCGCGGCGGAGGGCAGAGGGTTCTACCGACCACCTGCCAGGCCGCGCAGGCGCGGCCTCCTCGGCCGCATCTTCGGCGGCGGCGGCGGCGCATCCGCCGCCGCAGGCGGCGCCGGGCTGGAGAAGGCGATGAGGGAGGCGTTCAGGGACGGGGGGACTGGGCGGAGCCTGACGCTGAAGGACACGCTGAAGCCGGTGCTCATTCCGTGCTACGACCTGTCCAGCTCGGCGCCGTTTCTGTTCTCGCGAGCCGACGCGCTGGAGACGGACAGCTACGATTTCAACCTGTGGGAGGTCTGCCTGGCGACCGCGGCCGAGCCGGGCCTGTTCGAGCCGGTTTGCATGAAATCGGTCGACGGGTCGACCCGGTGCGTAGGGGTCGACGGCGGCCTGGCGATGAATAACCCGGCGGCGGCCGCGATCACGCACGTGCTGCACAACAAGCAGGAGTTCCCGTTCGTGAGGGGGGTCGAGGACATTTTGGTACTTTCGATTGGGGCCGGCGGGCAGCTGCTGGAGGGCAGCTTCGAGTACGAAGAGGTCAGGAAGTGGAAGGCTCGGGATTGGGCTCGGCCGCTGGCTCGGATCTCCGGCGAGGGCTCGGCGGAGATGGTGGACCACGCGGTGGCGATGGCGTTTGGGCAGAACCGGGCAAGTAATTACATTCGGATTCAGGTACAAGTTTTGATGAAAAGCACATTAATTACATCATAAGCTTGTTTCCTTATAGGAAAATTTAATCCTTTTTTATTAAATGCAGTTCAGAATACTTTTCATTGAAGATTTTTTTTTTACTTTTATTTTTTAATTTTTTTTCTTGGGAGGTGAGTAGGTGGGTTCAGGGGCAGGTGTATTTTGGGGGCATGCAATTTAATTCTTTGTGTTTATTTTGGAGGAAAAAGAAGGGGCCATAGAAGACAAACTTTGGCAGCCTAAAAATGCCAACCCACAATTTGGAGTGTTTGGACATTGACATGGGTTGCTGTAACTGTGTGTTCTGTGTGTTCTCTCTCTTTCTCTGTGTATGTGAATTTGTGGCAGTAATTATCATTTATGCTGTTTTGAAATTCTCTTCATTATCTTTATTGTGCATTTGTGCTGCCTCCACCTTCACTTCTTCCTAGATGTTCAGAAAAATT